CTAATTCTACCGCTGCTCATTATAATATTGCTAATGCTAATTCTACCGCTGCTCATTATAATACTGCTTGAGTATCTCGGGGTTTTGTTCATGAGTGAGAGAAGAATGGAGCGTGAGATTGATAGAAGGATTGGTGCAGCATCTGCAGTATTGTGGACTCTGTGCTGGTCCATTGTGGTGAAGAGGGAGCTGAGCTGTAAGACAAAGCTCTCTGTTTACCGGTCGGTCTACATTCCTCCCCTCGCCTCTGGTCCTGAACTCTGGTAGAGACTGAAAGAATGAGATTGTGGATCCAGGAGGTTGAAATGAGTTTCCTCTGCAGGAGCTGGACTCTTCCTTAGAGACAGGCTGAGAAGTTCAGTTATCAGGAGAGACTCAGAGTAGAACCGCTGCTCCTCCACATCCAATGGAGCCAGTTGAGGTGGTTCATCTGGTAAGGATGCCCCCTGGGCGCCTCCCTAGGGAGGTGCTTCTGGCATGTCCGACTGGGAGGAGACCCAGGACTCGCTGGAGAGACTACGTCTCTCATTTGATCTGGAAACACCTTGGAGTCCTCGCAGAAGAGGCTGTGAAGAGAGATGTCTGGACCTCCATGATCAAGATGCTGCCCTGAGACGTGTGTATATATATATATATATATATATATATATATATAAAATATGTTGTTACTTTTAGCTAGTGTGTTGATATTTTTGCTGTCCTTTTGCAACTTGTAGCTTCTAGCTAGCTACTTTATACTCAACATTTTTCTCTAGTTTGGTTCTGCGGTTCAGTTAACGGGTCTTCGTTCTAGTTTTGTACTCCTTTGACTCTTCCGTGTCACATTTCTATTGTTTACCATTTCTTAGTCATTTTATACCTACAATAAACGAAGCGGCGCTAAAAATGTCAGCTTTGTTTTATTGTCAGCGCTGCCTTAAAGGACAGCGGTGACATCACTGCGTCACTGTATGTTCCGGTTTAAAGCCCGTTTAAAAGAAGCCGCTGCGCTCCGACTCGAACACCCACTCGTGTAAATATCAACGAAGCCTTCGTGCTCCTCAAAGCAGTTTTTAATGCGAGTGGGCAGGGACGGTGTTTGCTACGACTATTTTCAGCAGAGCGTCTATTTGTAACATTAGAACGACGGACTGAGCCAAAATAAAAACAGCCGGTAATAAACTGAGAAAATGACTCGTGGTCTCTCTTGTAAAGGAGTCCTCGAGGCTCACTGAGACTCACCTGGATAAATAAAGGTTGATTGACTTCATACGTGTGGTTTTAATAGCTCTCGAGCCCTTTCACTCAATGATGTGATGAACAAACCTTTAAATGACTAAATGTGGTGAAGAACGTGCGGCAGCTACTCACAGTTACTGGACTGGAAATCTGGGACGAACTGTTCGTCGTCGGGAACCTGAGCTGTCGGACGACAGAAGACGATTAAAGACTCGCCGAGCTCAAAATGAACGCTTCAGCTTCTATTCAGAGGAATTAGCTTCTCGTGAGGTTTTACCTTCTGCGATCCAGATTTCTTGGAGCTGGCTCAGATCTTGAAAAAGCTCTGAAAGACGGAGAGGAATTTCACGTTACGCGTTATTTAGCCGAACTTACTTCGCCTCGTAAGATGAAAGAAAATGAGCCGCCGAAATTCTGTCATTTGTTCACTTGCTGTTGACACGATCAAAACGTTCGGCTCATTCAGGAGACGGGGGCGTAGCTAAATATTGTAACTTCATTTACGATTAATTCCTCCACAGAAAAACATTCAGATTTCTTTGAACTCCTTTAAAAACATTGTTCCCTTGGAAATCTGCTTCAGTACATCAATGCTATATTGATGCAACTTTTAGCTAATCTTTTGCTGCTTTAGCTAGCATTTTGTTGTTTTTACCCAACTTGTATAGACTTTTAGCTTCTAACTAGCACTTTGCTACTCCTGGCTAGTCTTGTTACATTTAAATTCTATTTTACTACTTTTAGCTATCCTTCTGCCACTATCACTTTCATCATGCTACATTTAGCTTTAATCTAGCCTTTTGCTTCCAATTAACTTTTTATTTTTTTACTTGTTTTTTGAATGTCCAGAGGACCAGATTGAACTTTTTTAGATTTTCCTACCTGGATTATTGAGCAGCATCAGGAAACTTTTTACTACTTTTAGCTATTTTATCCAGAACTTTAGCTTTTACCTTGTGTTCTGCAAGTTTTCTTTTAAGCTACTCTTTTGCTACTTTAGCTTGTTATACATCTTTTTGCTACTTTAGCCAACCTTTTATTTTAACTTAACTTTTCCTACTTTTAGCTTCTAGCTTGCATTTTGCTACATTTAGCTAGCACTTTGCTACATTAACTTTGACCTAGACGTTTATTTTTAACTAATCTTTGGCTATTTTTAATCACACTTTATGATATTTTAGCTAGCATTTTTTTTAGCTTTTACCTAAAGTTGTTCTATTTATATTTAGCTAGTCTGTTGCTACTTTTAGCAATTAGCTAGCCTGTTGCTCTTTTTAGCAATTAGCTAGCCTGTTGCTACTTTTGACATTTAGCTAGCCCTTTCCTATTTTTAACAACCAACTAGCCGGTTGCTACTTCATGAATTTAGCTAGTTATTTGCTACATTTAGCTGCCTCCTGCCACTTACCACTTTCAATGTGCTACTTCATCTACATCTAGCTTTAATTTAGTATTTTGCTACTTATAGCTATTTGCTATTTTATCCAGAACTTTAGCTTGTACTTGTGTTCTGCTATTTTTTTAAGCAACCCTTTGCTACTTTTGGTTTTGATACATCTCTTTGCTACTTTAGCAAATCTTTTATTTTAACCTAACTTGTTCCACTTTTACCTTCTAGCTTGTATTTTACTACATTTAGCTAGCACTTGCTACATTAGCTTTGACAGAAGTTTATTTTTAACTAATCTTTAGCTATTTTTAATCACACTTTATGCTATTCTAGCTAGCATTTTTAACTTTTACCTACAGCTTTTCCATTTATATTTAGCTAGTCTGTTGTACTTTTAGCAATTAGCTAGCCTGTTGTTTTTAGCAATTAGTTAGCCTGTTGCTACTTTTGGCAATTAGCTAGCCTGTTACTTCTAGCAATTAGCT